TTTTTTTTTTTTGTGGTATAGAGATTTTTCGGTTTCCGGATTCACAAGGGAACCGACTAATTCATAATCGAGCCAGGTAGGACCACAAGGGCGGCAAAGCTCTCCCTCAAGAGTTTTAACACTACTGCATTCCCAGGGCTCGAACACGAGACCACTAGTTAAGTTGGAAGAGACCCAAACCATCTCATCCAAGCACTCTTGGGTACCTCTAAATGTTCTTTAACAAATACTACCTCATATCTTTGTAAATGTCATTAGAGTTTTATCAATTATTAATCAAATAAATGACGTTTTGGACATTTTGTACATTTTTTCCATTATTATGTTCACTCATTTAGTTAATAAATATACTACGTTTTTTTCATATTCATTCTTTATTTTTTTTTCAAAACATTCATTTCTATCTTTATTAAAGAAATTATCGTTGTCAAAAAAAATATTTTTAATTACTGTATAACTTTTGAAAATGACACTTATTATGAATAGAAGAAAGTATTTATATAGTAATAATTTTTGGGTTTGCAAATTGAGACATATTTAAGTATTTACTAATGAGCATTTAGTGGATGTGGTTTCTTGAATACTTCAATTTATGTCAACTAGTCATGTTAAGAATAATTCTAAATCAATCCACTCACTCATTTGTTAATCATTATTATGTGCACATAAATAGCAACTACATTCCACTAGTCATTTAAGGAAAAAAAAAAGTACCTTTTCATTAAAATGTAGTACTATGAAATTAACTATTGAGAATTGTACTTCATTCTCCCCCTTTCCCTAAATTATCATCCCCATTCTCACACACAATAACAAATTCAAAAGGTTATGGAGTGAGTCTATTATTAAAAATCCTCTTCTCAATGAATATAAAATTCAACATCAAACTACAAACATATAACATGGAGATGCTACAGTCCCGTAACGAAACTATTTCGTCGAGATTTATAACCGTTAGATCAACTATCCCTGACGGTTACATGATGATCTAACGGTTACAAACACCAACAGAATGTTTCCGTAACGGGACCGTATCATTTTATTATATAATATACTACCTCATATTTTTTTTAAATGTCATTTTGGCATTATCAACTATTAACAAAATAAATGTCGTTTTGGATATTTGGTACATATTTTTTCATTATTACCCTCATCTACCTTATAAATACACTACATTTTTTCATTTACACTATTCATCTTTTTGCAAAGCATTCATCTCTATCTTCATTAATGAGGGTTATTATTGGCAAAAAAAATATTCTTAATAACTGTGCAACTTTTCAAAACGACAAATATTATGAATAGGAGGGAGTATCTAACAGAGTTTGATAACTACATATTTTTTAACTACTATGCACATTTTTAAATTTTTAAATGAAACATAATTAACGAAAATAATATAAATAAAAATCTAATATAAAATATTATTTTTATTAAAAAATATACTGACCAAAAAAAGAAAGGGAAAAAGAAAGGTACATAAAAAAAGCTCGAGACTTTACCTTTTGTTCGGCAAGTGGGGTACTATATTGGGGGAGGATGATAATTGACCCTCATCACTCATCAATGGTCTTCACAATTTCAGAATAAAAAAACCCACTTTACACATTTTTTCACTGTATATATCTGCTGCATTATTATGCACCACTCGCTTTCTCACCATATCTCCTCACTGTTCACAAGGTAAAGGCGTTGAATATAACAAGAAGATTGTTAATTACACCAATTTTTATCTTTCAAGAAGTGATCTTTTCTGTGTTTTACGAACTGGGGCCTTCTTAGTTCTTGTATTTGTTGCCTCTTTTGCTTGTTTCGTAAATTTCTTGTTTTTTTTTTTTTTAATTTTTTTTATTTTTTTGGGGAATTATATGATTTTTTGTTCTTTGAGGAGAGATTTGTCCTAAACAGGTAGCCCTGAATTTAGCAAGATAGGTATGATTTAAAATGTCCTAATTTTTGTAGTTTTCTTACTGGATTTGTGGGATTTTGTTTTGTTTTATTTAATTTAATTTGGGTGAATCTTGTGCTTTGTTTGTGTTGAAGTTTCTGTGTTGATGGTTGAGTTTTGTATATGGTGCTTTGTTTCTGATCATTTGATTTTTTTTAATTTTATTTTTTTCTTTTCTTTTTTTTTTTCAGCTGCAGAATTGAAAGTGTATTTGGTCTATAACACAGTTGGTTAAGCCCAGAAAGAACAAAAAAAAAAAAAAAAATGGAGTCTTTAAGATATGCTTTTGAGGGTAGAAAGTTACCTTTCACAGATCATACAGATTTTTCTCTAGAAAATCCAGCAAGTAGCAAAAGCCCATTGCAAAACCCAGATGAAAATTCGTTCTCTGTTCCTACAAATACTATATTCGACAACAATAGCGCACAATTTTTCGAACATTGTTCGTCTGAGATGCCAAGAAAGTCTTTTCTGAGTGATCATCAGAGCTTAGATAGTTCTTACTTAGATAGGAATAGTCGGTGTAATAAGCCGGAGCCGGCCATTCCGGCAAAACGAGCAAAAAGTGCGAATTCGTCGCCCTCCTTAGCTCCCACTTGTCAAGTCCTCGGGTGTAACAAGGACTTGAGTTCCTCCAAGGATTATCACAAGAGGCATAAAGTGTGTGATGTTCACTCGAAAACGGCTATGGTTATTGTTAATGGCAAACAACAAAGGTTCTGCCAGCAATGCAGCCGGTACAAGAGTTCTTTCTCTCTTTCATTTTTTTTTTTTTTTTTCTTTTTTAGTTGATAACAATTATCTTATCTAATAGCTGAATGTTTGGTTACGGCTTCAAGATTACAGAGACCTTTCAGAAGTTTGCATAGTCTTAACAAATACTTTGAAATGGAGGGCTGTAACTTGTGAAATTGAGACCAAGTGTTGATTACAAAGCTAACCCCAAAAGATGAGTCTGAATAGAAACAAGGGTTAATTTGTAATTTTGAAACAAAGCTCGAAACTCCAGGGTGATTCTTGTAATGCTAGATAGATATAGTTATCAAGAGGGTGATTGTGTTGTTCATCCTATAAGGGCAAATACCTCGTTTCGAAAAAATGGTTTATTTATGTGAATTTTTGTACATTTTTATGGTCATGGTTACCTCACGAGCGTATTGTTGACCATTTTGGATGAATAGATTTCACGTGCTTGCCGAGTTTGACGAAGGCAAACGTAGCTGTCGTAAACGCCTTGCTGGCCATAACGAGCGCCGGCGAAAGCCTCAGCTCGAATCTTACTTTAGTAAGCTGCATATATTATTATTGTTATTGTTGTCATTATTTCTTGTTGATGAAAAGGATAAGTATACAACTTTAGTCGTTTTTTTTTCGTTTCTTATTTGGTGAATAAAACTGCAAGATTTGAGATACTAAATGAACTATCAATGATTATTAATCCTATTGCAGGTTCCTCATATTTATCGACAAATGCATCAAAAACATCCTCGATTTTCCCAAGAGTCTTTCCCAACAGCTTCTACTATCCGCAATGTAATAACAATAATAAGCCACTTACCAATAATGCCCTCCTTAAACTCGAAGACGATCCAACCCAAATACCTTCATACACACCAAACATGAAATTTGGTCAGTCATTTCATGCCCCGTTTACCCATTTCGCCAGAAAAAGGTCCCCAAACAAATACGGTTCGGTTCAAGAGTCACCTGTGGGTTCGAGTAACTCCAGCTGTGCTCTCTCTCTTCTGTCATCCCAATCACACAACTTAATAAACAACAACAGCTCAATGCCCGAAAAGTTTACTGCTACTACTGTGAATTTTAGTCCATCTCTAAGTGACCAGCAACAAAACGAGACCCTCAAGAGCTATTCGTGTCCGGAAGATTCCGAGACGGTTAGTTTGGTCGAATTATCTTCGTATCTTCAAAGAGTTGAACAACGAAAATATTATGAAAAAACGTGTCTCTTGTGAACTCGTTACAAGCATTGTAATTTTAACTCATGTATTTGACATTTCTTACTGTATTTAGTAATATAATTGGTACATCTTGGTAATGTGTGTTTATGCTTGAAAGATATTTGATTTTTTTATTTAAAAAAAAAGGTGGCATAGAGGAAATGGTTTATTTTACTATTACTAGTATAGAAAGGTTGAGTTTTTATGGTTGATTTTTTTTTTAGTATATTTGTTTTCAATGTAAATGTTTTATTTAAAAAATAAATAAATGGTGTGTGTTGGCAAAATGGCTTTTTTGACTGAGATCTTTGTTTGCCATGCTATGATGCTCTGCACTATCCAAAAATGGGGTGATTAAATTACATTATCACAAAAGGAAACTCTATCACTTTTTTTTTTTTTTTTTTTCCTTTTCATATTCTTTGTTTTTTCCTTTTCTTTTCCATAATTGATCCTTTTCTTATTGTATAGATCATTCTAGGGCTGCTCATTCGGTTGAAATCGAATCGAACCCAAAATTCGGTCTATCCATTATCAGAACCGAATCGAACCGACTTTGTTCATTATTGGAACTGAAAACTGAACCAAAATTTATGGTTCCATTTGGTTTTTAACAAAAAATTTAGCGGTCAGTTTGGTTCAGTTACCGATTAACCACAATAAATAATTAATCTTCTCAATGAATTTAGAATTTTCAGTATAACAAAACATTTGATGTTTTATCCGAACAATTTTTTTTTTTTTGTTTAATATTCTGAATAAATTCCAAATTCTCTTCAAAGAAAGATCTCGAATCTGAACCGTGCCTTGAAATATGACGAATCCAATCTTGAGTGTAAATTAATGCTTGAACCATTTTAAGAGTCATTGAAACTTGTAAATCATCAACCATTACAGCAAATCAATGCTTTTATAACTTATATATATAAATAAAAAAACATGTATATATATGTTTATAAATCGGTTTTCGATTCGGTTCAGTTAATCGATCATTATTTATCCAAATTGCACCGGAAACTTAAATTTTAAGAAAATGTAAATCGAGAACCGAAATAAATTTTCAGTTTCGGTCCAAATTGAATTTTTGGTTTTCGGTCGGTTCGGCTATGTGAACCGAAATTTTTGCACCCTAGCTCATTCAAGCTTGGAGATTATTCTCTATTTTCTTTTCCTTTTGTTTTTGTTTGCCTTCTCTTTCTATTCTTAAAGGAACTTATGTTATATGGTATTTCCCCTTTTTAGACAATTTTAACTTTTTAATAGATATATTAAACTAAAATTTTCTATTTTGATACAACGTAAGTATGACGTCATTGTTCTTGATTTTTATTCCATTTTAGTGCTTGTGTGTGCGTTTTGGTGTATTACCAATTTTGGTTTTGTAACCACGTGAGCGCACGTGCGCACCTACATATGCGCAAATTTTTTATGGGCTTTTATAAGTAAAATAAGTTTTAATGGCTTTAATTACTAATTAGTGAGCTAAACCATGTTTGCCTTCTGTTAAATCTAATTTATAGTCCTTTTTGTTAATTTACAGAAGTTAGGGGATGAATGATTAAATACAAACCCCGACGGAATGATTCCGTAATGGGACAGTACTCAATAGCATCTTCCATTTATTAGATTATGGCATTTAAGTTTGTCTCTGTTGAAAAAGTATTGCTGTGTGATCATTAGGCCTTCATAAAAACAGACTTACTAATTGAAAATGTGAGATTAAAGAAAGGAAAAAAAAAAGTATATATGTAAATATCTGACACAAAATATGTTAAGGATGAATGTTATAAAACACTTAAATACATTCGTGGTGGACTTCCACATGTACTTTGACTTCTCAAAATGTATTATACATTAAGGGCGCGTTTACTTCGGGTGACAGTATAGGATAACCCAAATATCCTACGCTTACAATCAGGTATAAGGACAGGACTAATTGATGTGGCAGCAGATGTGGCGGCG